TCTTTCATCTCAAAAATATTCCGCAGGTTAAAAGGTAATGAGTGCATCCTATTGCCTGCACATGCACATGCTTGTGTCTAGTATTGTATAACACAGCTCCTCTTTGTCTCCGCTTCCTCAGACGGAATATGTGACTAATGTGGTTGACAGGAAACCAGCTGAGAGTGATGAAAATTCACATTAATGAAGCAAGATAAGAGCGTCATTTCCGAGACACTAACAGTCTGTGCAATTTTTAAAATAGCCTTATGTACTGTACTAAATACAGATTCTTACTAGTTTTGTCACCAAAGGCATGTGTCCATTGAGAACCTCTATTTTAGCTAGAAGCTCATAAGTTGCCGGTGGATGCTTTAGACATGGCTCTGTTGCTATGCGACCACTTAAAACCTGTTTGAAGGGCATATCTCCGGGTTCAAATGTTTTAACTTTTGACTGTTTAGAGCACGGCGCACCAAGCATGCGCAGCTTACTCTAAATTCAACTGTCAACAACAAAAGATTGAGATGTCAGCACTGGAAAGGAATGTCTTATATCTCAAACCCTGCCTTCAATTTTCTTTTTATTATCCTTTGGGTTTTTTTTAAGGAGGACTATCTAACACCTACAAGAAATAATTCCAGAAAGGATGAAAGGAAGGCAGTAAAGGGATAACCTGCCACATTTTTCCAGCCTGTTTAACCTTTGAATTTAGTGATGAGGATTCATGTGGTCGCCAGAGCTGGTATCACATTAAACAGATGCTGCCCTGTCAGATAAAGAATTAAAATCTTGCATTTGTAAGTATTTCTGTAAATGCGTGTGCGAGAGGGGGGATGTGTTTGCGAGTTTTTTTTGCCCCGTTCTCATGCAAGCTGTTGTTAAAGGAGCCGTGAAATCGTCCCTTCGTCGTCGTGCACTGCCACTCCTGTTGTAGCACCATGTGACTCTACAGTGAGGTCAAGGAAAGAAAAAAAAAAAAAAGCTGGCAACGCGGAGGAAGGTGAGGACTACTAAGTCGGAAAGGCACCCTCATCATGACTGGCAAGGTGGGTGATGCAAGGCAAGTGGTGAGTAATGATGCACCTAGAATTCAGGTCGACGCTCTAAGCTGAATTTTACGAAGGAGGTGAGGAAACAGGGAGAAGGCGATGGAAGTTAGAGGATTCTTTTGTAGCACTGAGTCATAGCAGCAAAAAAAAATATTTCAAGGTGTATTGTTCCAAAATAGCAAAAACACAAGCAAACACCTTGTATTGTTGCCATGCAGAAACACTTATCTACATTCCACTTAATCAACTCCTGTTCCTTCGATAAGAGAGCCAGTGGAGAGGGAGAGGCAGAAAAAACAAGCCGTGCTCCCGGGCCACTAGAATGACAGAATGGCACTTTTATGATGTCTCCCAGATTATTCCCTTAGATGGATGGGCCGAGTTGGAACGGCAATTGATTAATCCATCGACTGACGGAATGTGCTGTGGCCGTCCCTGTGCTCAGCTGTTCTTTCCCTGGACGGAGAATTTGGCCAGACATGCTGGAGAGGATGACTAATGAAGGAGGCTTCTGAAGAAACCGTCCATGACTGTCTGTGTATATTTTTCTGGGCCCAAGATGCATGCTTGTGTCTGACTGATAGAGTAAATTAGATTATAAAAGAATAACAAAATAGACTCAGCAGATTGGGGGGGGGGGGAAGCCCTCTCTTTATCCAAATAAAGACTACAAATGGATGCTTTTGTAACAGATTGCTGCATGTTTTACAGCCAAACCAACCTGACCACAACACTCTCTTGATCTCTTCAAAGCAGTGTCTGCGTCATCTACCAGAAGCACAGTTGAAATAAGTGAGATGTTTATTCTTTTTTCTCTTTTCACATTCACAATAGCTGCCTGTGATGCACATTAACAACACTGTGTCAGTGACCACCCTTTCAAAGCTTACTCACTCTTGGCTTATAAAGCATCTTCACAAACGTCATTCCCCCTGCAGGGTGACTCTCGTTTCCTGCAAATGTGAATGATTGACCACAGACAGACTGAACTCATGTTCAGAAGCAGCACTCATCATCGTCGATGCACTTTACTTATTTTCAACTAAACTCACTGCTGCTTTTGTCCTGACCTCAAACTTCATCCACTTGAAGAATTTCAGCTTCAATGAGAGTTGACTACGCTGTGTAAGGTATGACGTAGAGTGAGTACGTTAACATAGCAGCCACACACACCTCTATCTTAAGAAATGCAACAGTACCAGACAACTTTCTTCAGGTTCAGTCTTCTACTTTATGTGAACACACCAGGTACCTTTCTCAATGGCCCGTTCTTCTTTACGAATATAGCAGACCTCAGGAGGCTGCAATTAAATAATCGCAATTGATTATTCAACACAGCCATGTAATAAACGGCACTGGAAAAGTGGGCACAATGTAAATTATATTAAGAAGCATATATCTTTTTTTTTTTTGCTCAATAAACTCAGTGGCTGAGCTCGAATAAAGCCAGGTTTCCGCTCCAACCCATCATGTCACGACAACTACTTAAAGGGATTTGAATAACAAGAAATACACTTAGCAGACTATATGAACTCTCACACATTACACTAAACTCAGTTCATGAATAAGCTACAATACTGAGGATACCCAATCAATACATAAACATACTGATGTGTGCTTTGCATGTTGTATTTATAACCCATTAAGCCATGCCTCCATCTTTATACAAAGGCTTCCTTTCACCCTCCGAGCGTTACGGGGCTTCCAGCTCCTCTCTGGCCCTTCACTTCAGACTTCCTGCATAGCACCATTGGTCTTCAATAACACTAGGCAAGAGAGTAGATAATGGATCCCTATAAATTCTCCCTTTTCTCATTGAATCAAACCCCCCTGAGAGACTTTACACCCAGAAGAGAAGATGAGAAATGTAATGGTAGCTCCATTATTGATACAAGTCCTCAGCAGTGAAAGAAATGAATGCTAATGGTGTCCTAAGCCCGGCTTTACAGAGATTAATCCGATTTGAGGAAATGAACATTTTATTATAAAGGCACAAAGGTCTGGCCCTGATCTGGACTGAGTCAGAGGATGAGGAGAAGGGTAAGAAAATGACAAAAGGCATTGTGGGAAGGGGGGGGACATGGGTATACAGGCTGTCACTTTGCACGACCCTGGCACCTCATTGCTGTGGTGCCCTTTTCCAGCTGACAAGTTCATTAATTTTCTGACACAGCTTCTTGGGATGATTTGAAATAGATAAGTCAGACAACAATGACTGGATAAATTGGACATAAAACAGACATCTGTGGAAGCAACATTATCAGCTGTAGACTGAAGCAGCAGGAAGTCCCTCTCAGTCCCTGTGCTGCACCTGCTCTCAGGCTGTTTCCCACTGCTTAGAGGGACTAATAGGGACACACTGGGGATACAGCTGTTGTCACTCTAGCATGGTGAAATAAACAAACATTGATCCCCGAGTGAGTTTCTGTTGAATCTGTCAGATTTAAAGTCATTTCTCTCCGTATAGTTTTACGCAGCCCATGACATCCCAAAACCTACAGCCCACATTCATCTCCACGAGAATCTCCGCAGGGATGAGTAGGCTTGAGAAGTGTTAAATGGGGAGGAGAAAAAAAAAAAATTCTCTACTTATAATTCCTATGAATCATTCTGCACCAGTTGCCAACAAACAATCTGGGGAATATGTAGGGAGGATTTATCATGCTTCAGCCTCTGACAGGGCAAAAAAACATAAAATCAGCGGTCTAATTTGTCTCCCAGAGGTGGTGTCACTCCATCATTTGGAGGGCTTTTTCTTTCAGCGGGTGAATAATGTTTGCCATGTTTTCTCACTTTCACAGGTGAGAGATGCAATCCATTCTTTGTCTGGAGAGTGACAGCTACCTGTATTTATGCTTTTAACACCAACACTGCTTCATCAACGGCATGACAGACATCTATTTTAAAGCTCACTTTTAAGATCCAACGCTTGTTATGTGTTTGAACTGACCTTTGTTGAGGGGAATTCTTCAAATATCAGATAGATAGATAGATAGATAGATAGATAGAAAGAGAAGAAAGATAGATAGATAGATAGATAGAAAGAGAAGAAAGATAGATAGATAGATAGATAGATAGATAGATAGATAAGATAGATAGATAGATTTTTACAAACATCACTCCCCATGCATACTGGGAGTGGTGGCTCAGATTTTTCAGTCCAGAAACTTCAACATCCATATCCTCTCCAACTGAGTAGAGGCAGAGCAAAGATGGGAGATTTAGATTTCAGCACCACGTAAGAAGGACAGCTCCCTCCCAGGCTTCCACTGGGGGCCATGAACAAGCAGCCCTCTGTGTGCACCATGCCAAGAAAAAGCAAGAGAACTAGTCCAATGTGTGAAGACTTAGTCAGTAGCCATAGATGCCATCCTTGAATTCTATATTCAGGACTAAATATTTCATCTATGTCATGCATTTCCCCACTTAGGTCGCCATAGCATGGTGCTGAATATGGCAGATTTTCAGACACTGAAGTCTGTTGGGAGTATGCAGCTATAGAAAGGTGGATGGACTGAGTGTCTTCTGCATGTGTAACGAAGCATTACGCACTTTTATTGCACTGCCTATGAAACATCATTTACAAAACTCTTTTTTTACGGAGGCAAAGTTCGTTCTTTTTTTTTTTGAATAGGTTATTAATGACACCTAAGCTTGCTGCCACGCACTCAACTCTAGGGCGCGCGCTGAAACGCAAGCACACGGACGTGAGCGCGCACATCTTCTCCAGCTCCAAATCAGCGCGTGATTAGAGATATTTTAGTTAGAGGCCGCACTGTGAGTGGCGACAAAGCTGGGGGGTTTCATTTGCCCTGATAAAGATGTTGTCCCTGAAATAAAATGAAAAGAAGATAAACTACAACAGCCAGACATCAAACTACGGTCAGAGAGGGGCAGTTGTTTTTTAGCCTATAGGGACCAGCAGACAATCAGACAAACACGTTTTTTACACCACAGATACAAACTTACCTGTTCATAAAGACGCCTAGGTCTTCAGGATCTTTGCTTCAGGCGGAGACGGGTCCCTGCTCCGCTCCCTCCACAAAACTGCATCCAAAAAACATCCGCAATTCTCAGGCGATCTTGCATTGATGATATTTTCTTTTGAGACACATTGTGCTCTTGCTCTCAGGACGACGTGGTATGTAATCCACACATCAGTCTGCATGAAATGGATTCAAATCTCACAGCGATTACCACACATCCGATATTTCCTCCTTTCTTCGGGATACACAGAATACGAAGGCGCCTACAAGTGCCATTGTTGAATTGACTCTCCCGATGCAAAGAGACACCCACTGGGGATCTAGATTTTCTCAAAGAGTTATAGGTCAATGTGAAGCAACACTGTTTTTTTTTTTCCTGCTTTAAAATCTAAATGAAATGTTCAAAAGAAGCCTCTCCACAAAGGCGAAGAGAACCTCCTGTGGTCAATTTCCAGGTGGATCCATCCTGAAAACCCCGTAAGCACACTGCAGATTGAAGTAGACCATCATCCATACATAGAGGGGCAGCAGTGGGGTTATTTTAAAGTCCCATTCGCTGTCTTTTCCAAATTTAACTTTCCTCCAAGTCTCTTGTCTTAGTCATCAAGGCTGCTGAATCTGATTAGATTTCACCTCACAACCCAGTGCGGATTCCAAGACGCTTATTTTTTATCTTCCCTCCTGGTTGTCTCGATGAAAACAGTCCCGCAACTGAGCGATTTAACTGGCATCCTATACGTCGGGGGATTTGAAAAGTTGCAAAAATAGATGAAAATCTCTTTTTTCAGCTTCAGGGTCTCCATTTTAAGAGAAAAATATGCCACATCCGAAATAAAATCCAGCAGATATCCTCAACAAGCCTTTTAAACACCGCCAGGCGATAAGGCAGCAATCCTTAATGCAAACAGTCGTTTCGCTTGGCTTTATTCCCACATGTTTTAGCGCCGATCCGCGTTTTTAGACTGTCTGGACGGGAGTTATAGTTCACCAAAGGTAGGCATCACTTCTGCGCCCTCGTTCCATCCACGTACGCTTTTCGCCGATTCGAGTCTCGCGGAACCATCAATGAGACACACACACGGAGGGTAAAATGGGTTTGAAGGGTTATCATCCACAGATTTCTGGTCGTCCGAGTCCGGTCACCTCCTCTTCTGTCGATGCAGGCTGTATGTAGCTGCTTGTGTTCACAGGTGATTTCGTTCCAATGCGCGCAGGCAGGCTGTGCCCATCCGTGCGCTTTACAATACCTCAGTGTGTTCTTCATTTACGCACATCCCTCCGGAAAAAAACCGCAGCAATAGATGGACACTGAATTGATTAGTACAAGAGGGGGTCTTCATTGAGGTTACCTCCCACTGACAAGCTTGTTCACCGAGTGAGCCTGTTCAGCCAGTCACTGCTGGTGCATCGGAGAGGCAGTTTCCCCTCTTCTGTTTCAGACTTCACAGTTCTCCAAGGGAACTTCTGTGGCTGCCAAAATGTCTCTACTGAAGGAATGTCTCAGGAAAGACTGGCTTTTAATAATAATAGATAATTGACCTATGTCCTTCTCTTTCATTGAGCAGTTTTAAAAGAGGCAAAGAACCGCCACAACAATGCAAATCGTTGTTTAAGCGCGCATCAATTTGTGTCCGTGTGCGCGAGAGGAGATAAAAGGAGAGAGGTTTAGACAGATAGAGAGAGAGACAGATTCTCCCCATGTGTCTTTTGCAAATGAGACACGACTGCCACCTACCGGCTTCCATCGCCTGCTTGTTGCATGATAGTGGCCTCAGGCTGATTGTCGCATAGGATTACTCTCCCATGAGAGACTAAGTTGTGTTTATATAGGGTTATGCATACAACATCTCTATTTCAACTTGAGAACGCTGCAGGGTGCAATATGAGACATATAGGCATACATAATTGTTTCATGATGAAGACATGGTAGGCACATCATCACACAGTTTAATGAACACAAGCACATGATGAGAGGCATGCGACAGCTTGACAATCCAGAATAGTTAAATGTTGTAATATACTGTATTTGGTAATGTAGTACTACACATAAAAAAAACACTTGCTAATGTTATGCAGTAATGCACATTGCATATATTTTCAATATGGCACCTGACACAGAAGACTTCAGCACTTCAGAGATATTTTTGCTGGTAAATCTTTTATCTCAGCGACCTGCAGCATGGCAACATATTGTGCTAAACTCAGTTATATTAGAGGCAATGAGATGCATAGTGGAGCTTTAAAAAGGACGAGTCTGTGGAAAGAAGTAAGCAAACATGCCCCATCTGGGAAGAGTATGCATGCATCCACTGGTCATGTCATAATAGATGTGAGAAAACATTTGAATGCCAGAGCAAGGATGTGTCCATCGAGCTGTCAACATCCCATCTCATTTCCCTCAGTGCATCATTCATCCATCTTCATAACTGTCGACCTGCCTGTCTGTGTGTCTGCCATACAGTAGTAAAGAGCACCACTCTCTTGCTTTCCAGTCGAAGCAGACATCCTTAACTACCATCTTTTTTCACTCCATACTTCTTGCCTCACATTTTCCCCGAGCCAGCGAATGAAATCTGTTAAACCCACTACTCTTCAAGATCACCGGGCAGTGTTTTTGTAAAATGCTCTTTCTGATCCATAGCATTTCCATGCCATTGACATGTAACTGCCAGGGTCACTTCTGAGTGCTGACTTCCGTAATTGGTGTCATGTTGCTGTGTGACTGCTTGGCCTTATGGTTTTGATTTAATGCTTTTTCTCCTCCTGCTGCTGAGAGTCTGTAGATCTCTGATGATGCAATGTCGTGTTTGCTGTGTGGGAAACATCAGCCGAGGTCCTTGATTTTGATTTATGTAGCTTCTGAGACCATATAGTCCTTGCTGGCCGCTACCCTTGCTTCCTTAAAGTGAAGCTTTTGGATATACAGATTTTGTTGCCAGATGTTATCACTAAACTAGTCATTAAGTCCCACTGTTCAGCAAATTAAACATGTTCAAAATTCAGCTGCGAGAGTCCTGACGAAAACTAAGAAAGAAGACCACATTACTTCAAACTCTTAAATCTTTACACTGGCTACCTGTTATTCAGAGAATTGATTTCAAATGTGTCTGCTTGTGTATAAGTCTCTCTGTGGTTGAGCGCCCCAATACAGCTCTGACATGCTTGTGACATATGAACCATCAAGGACCCCAAATAACATCTGGCACTGTCCCGAGAGTTAGAACAAATCACTGTGAAGCTGCGTTTTAGCCCAGATAATGTTAGACTAGCCCTGACTCTGACCACCTTTAAATCCAATATATCACTTACTTTTCTACACTGCCACCACTTCCCTCTATGTATAGTTTTCAATTCTATTTGAACTATTTTAGAACTTTGTTTAGTTATTATTTATTGCTCATGCAACGCTTGTCTGCACTTTAAAAAAAATCAATTTCAATGAATTCATCTTATTTATTCCAAGGAGAGCCATTATACTCACTTTTACCATTAATTATGTCAGTCTGGGACACCTTTTGAGTAGTGATGCAGGATGTGTAGCTCACAATCCTCCTTATTTATCCTATATTTGTGTCAGTAAAATCCCTAATTTCAGCCTCTTCCTGAGACAGAGCTGCTGTCTCTTTAAGGCCCCCCGCCACAGGTGCCCACTTTTCTCTGATTGGCCAGCTCTGTTTGCAGTCGCAGGATCATTTGAGTGAGCTTCCGGCTGGGCGTGGGCGTGTCCTTGAAAGAGCGGCCGGGATGGGCATGTCCTTCAACTTTGCTTGATGCTTTTCTCTAAATAAGTCGGCAGAACCTGACGTCAGGTTCTGGCCAAGTCTCTCGAAGTTCTCGTAATGTCTCGGTCAGAGCGGCAGGAAACCACGTCCGAGGATTACACCAAACACTGTGTATTTGATGTTTAAACATATTTGCTGAGGTTTAGTATAGATATCCAGCATTTTTACGTAAATATGGATCAGCATAATAGATCTCCTATAATCTTTAACTCCTACTACTTTTAACTGAATTTCTGTGTCTTTGATTTTGGTTTATTTCAAAGTAAAGAACTTTGAAGCGTCTCAGTGGATAAAACGTACTTGAATACATTTCTGTAGGATGATCCTATTGTACGTATTTCTTTTGTTACATATTTACCATATTTCAGTTTGTTTTCCCGACCAATTGTGAGCACCGACCTTTACCCGTATGTTTATTACTGGTTTGACTGTCAGTAATAACTGAGAAAGAACATAATTGACCAAATCTTGGAATAACTATTGATAACTGTATGTACAGAGAAGCTTCGTGTCACACATCTCTCTCAGTGGTCTCTGCTTAAGCACATTGGTCAAACATTGATTTTCACCTTGAAGTTGCTTAATTCAGTGTTTGTCAAACAGCTCCTTTAGATTTGGAAAATTAGATTTTCCTGGGTAGTACATGCCGATACCCAATGCTTTGGTATTGGAACAACTCTAGTTAAATGCAAAATTCTTTCAAGCTTGTGTCACACATTAAATCAAAAGCCTTACTGAAGCGATCAGAGGTCACACACACAATTGGACCATGAAAGATGGCAAAGATCGCCCTGTCCTTGGAGAAGCTTAAAGTGCTGTTGTGCTGCCATTGTAAACAATGTGACCTTTTTTTCTGAAAGGGCAAGACACATACTAGACTCTTGGGGGTAGTCGTTCCGTGAGGAGCAAGGGCAAGTAAAAAAGCTCACTTGAGGGAATTCTCCAGTATAGATTATTGGTTATGCTCTCAGCATCCTCGTAAAAAAAAAAAAAAGAAAAAAAGACGGTTGCTGGAAGTTAATAACGAGAATCAGAGAGGTGTTGGTGTAAGCTTAACATGATTTTATATTTTCTACACCATGCACTTTATCGTCGCTCTATGAAGACCACCCTGAAAAAAAAAACAACTGCTGATTTGACAGAGGAGGAAGGAAAAAAGTAGTGAGATGCCATTCAGAGATGGTTTAAGGTTTAAGGATCTCTCCCCTTCCCTGAGAGTATTTTGTTGTCAGGGTCTGAATAATACATGTGCTGGGATGCAATTAGATAATGTAATAATCATGTTGGGTATGCCATGTAGGTCTCACCCAGTAATCAAAAGGAATATATGTACACATGGCAGAGGTTTATCCAGTCCTGAGAACATAAGCTTAAAGTTCGATGTAAGGCAGGTTAGAATAAACCTTCTCTGGTAAACACTCTGATTGTCAAATTAAAACGCTGAGAAATTATTTGAACACTTCAATTTGTGTAACTCAGTTTTTAGTAGAATTTCAGTGTTATTTTTTATAAAAAAATAAATGTTTAATACTCCTCTCTGTGTCTGATCTTCTTCCCAAAAATAGTAACCTGCTTGGAGACTGTGTGAGAAGGAGGTAGTGTGCCCCCTTTTAAAGGAGGCTGTGAATACATTAATAATGTGTGTTTTTTTTTTATTTTGAGATCTGGCATTTATTATTCATGATGTTGTTTTGGAGGGGTATGAGACATCACTATTGATATCCTGCAAGGCTCAGAGGCATCATAATAATGTAGTCAGGTGTGTGGTGAGAGGCGAGGCGGAGAAACGAGTCTGCGGGCCTGCGCATGTTTCACAAGTCGTTCCTTTCTATTCTGCTCCAATGGTCTGAGCGCCATTTTGTGTTTATCTCTGTCTAATGTTTAATTTCCACTGTACTCTCTATAAACACAAACTTTAACCTCCAAATGTAGCTGATTTTACAAAGTCAATGAGTGAAATTCTGCAAATGAATATGTGATTGTGTTCGCTGAGACTCAAAGCAATGCATCAGATTTCACAGGCTTCAAAACTAGGTGCATCAATCTGTTTGCAGTCCTTTAATCTCCTCTTTGATCCACACTCATCTCTTACTGTACTTCTTATGCAAGTCTTCCATTGGCCCAAAGGGCCTGTAATTGAAGAATTCATTCTTAGCATGCATTCCGCACTACTCCTGGCTCAGATTTTCCTGTATCAACCCTTGATCTTGGGTAAATTAAATAATTCAAAGCATGCTTCACCGTTGTAAAAGTCTCTAAGCAACTTCTACTGCATCACAGAGCTGTGGGAGAGGCAGGATGACTGGCAGAGCCTTAGATATTGGCTGCGGCTCAAAGCAGCTGTATCATGAGATGAGAAGGTCCACGCACTTAGAGAGAGGAATCAATCGATGATCATGCTATTCTGAGTATATAACTCATCATAGCATGGAGAATATCATCTATTATCATCTATCAGTCACGTCCTTTAAGATGTAATGCTTAAATAAGCATGAGTAACACACACATTCTTAAAATCATATGGCAACAAATGGTTTCCTTTCCAATATCCAATCAAGCACACATCCAATAAGGAAGTCTGCATCAGTATATAGAACCATCCCTTACTCTGACTCTGCATGGTGGGATCTAAATTGCAGTAAGACTTGGGTTAATACAATAGAAAGGATAGCAATTATTATTATAAT